AGAGAGACAGAGTGTGAGCCGGGGAGGGGCAGAAAGAGAAGGAGGCACAGAATCCGAAGCGGGCTCCAGGCTCCGACCTGTCAGCACAGAGCCCGACGCGGGGCTCGAACCCACAAACTGTGAGATCGTGACCTGAGCCAAAGTCAGACGCTCAACCGACTGAGCCACCCAGGCGTCCCCTATAACCGTGATTCTTAGCAATATAGGGAGGAGAGGTAGCCCCTGGTACTGAGTCATGTTAGAAGTGGTAGTTGTCCTGGTTCAGTGTAATAAGCAGGTCTTCCGGGAGGAGGACGGAAGAGATGGGCCCAGGGGTGCCGTTTTCTCTCTGTTTAGATGACGGGCTTTCTAATGATGCTTGCTGCTGACATCTAGCCTTTCCTGCGTTTAGACATCCGTGGAGACCAGACACAGGGCGAGGGGTCTGCCTCTGTGTGGCCAGAGCCAGCCGAGCCCGGACCCAGAGGGGACGGAGCCACTCTCAGCCCGGCCCAGGGACCCCCACACGCAGCACTGCACTCTTGTGGGCGCTGTGCTTTCCATCAATTGGCCTTTTAACCAGAGAGCTAAGCAAGCAAGCAAGCCGTGCTGAACTCAGTTCTGTGTCATAGTGGTCTGATACTTCATTCCTGATGTGTCCTGATGTGGTCCACTTGTTCCGAAGGCCAGTGGGATTCTTTGCCTCCACGAGTGTGCCCAACACCGACTTCTCTCCCTTCTCCGGGATGCTTCCCCTCGCAGAGAGGAGGAGCTGCCCGGTGACTCCTGGTAGAGATCGGGGTGGGGGCGGGGTGCCCTTGCTACCTCTCTCTCCTCCATACCCATCAGTCGTCAAGTCTCATTGATTCTCCTCCAAAATGTGCCCTGGGTCTGCCCAGTTCTCTCTCTCTGCCTGGAGCTGGGGTGACCACCTTGAGCACAGGTGCTCAACGCAGGCAGAGCTTGCGTTGCTGCAGCCTCCGATGACCTGTAATCCCGGCTCCTCCTTGCCGGCGGGCCTTCCTCCCTGGCAAATGTTTTCACACACGTATGGGAGGCCTGGCAGCATGTAGTCTCAGAGAGGAGGTCAAAGGAGTAAGAAATGAATTTGTTTGGTGGATACAGTGTTGGAACTCTGCATCAGACTAGCAAATGGGAGCAGGTGTGGGCGGGGAGGTCAGGAGCGGGTGCATCCAGGCTCCAGAAGAGCCCTTCTGGTGGGTTACGGGCAGGGCTGCTGGTGCCGGAACCGGCATTTCAGGGGGAGTCCCTGAGGCCACCCCAGCCTGCATTGGTGGTACGCAGATGCTGGGTCTGCTCGGTTCCCGGCTGCGGTAGGGCATGTCTGGCATGTGATTCTAGACTTTTCCTTCAGGAGTTTATTAGAAAGCGTGTTCTCCAACACATGCCTGGCACCTGGCACCTGTTCTGCAGGGAAAACAGATGAACTTTTTTGTTTTTTCAGATTAAATATTTTTTTATTGGGTAAATTTGATGCATAACATTGCGTAAATTTAAGGTGAATACTGTGTTACTTTGGTGTGTGTGTGTGTATATTGTAATATGGTTGCCACTGGAGTCATATTTATCATATTACATACTTATTGTGTATGTTGAATAAACTGTATGTTTATCGCCATTTAGCCCTTCTTACAAGTTTATACCTTTAAACGCCATCAGTCTTATCTGCCCACCGTCTTGCCCCTGGTAACCACCATTTCTTCTCTTTTCTAGATTCCACATATAGGTGATATCAGTATGTTCTCTGGCGTATCTTGCTTAGCATGATGTGCTCAAGGTCTATCTAGTTGTTGCAAATGGCAGGATATCCTCCTTTTTTTTTTTTTTTAATGTTTTATTTATTTTGAGAGAGGGCGAGAGTGCATGGGAGAGGGGCAGGGAGAGAGAGAGAATCCCAAGTAGACGCCACACTGACAGTGCAGAGCCCGATGCAGGGCTCGATCTCCCGAACCATGAGATCATGACCTGCGCTGAAATCAAGAGTTGGACGCTCAACCAACTGAGCCACCCAGGTGCCCCGTGGATATCCTCCTTTCTCATGGCTGAATAATAGTCCGTTATGTATATGTGCCACACCTTGTTGTTTTTATTTTTTTTTCTTTTAATCCATTCATCCGTTGATGGGCATCGATTGGGGTTGTTTCCACAGCTTGGCTGTCGCGATAAACATGGGTGTGCAGAGATCTTGCAGAAGTCTTGTTCTCACTGCCTTTGGGTATATCCCCAGAAGCAGAATTACTGCACTGTATCGTAGTTCTGCTTTAACTTTCTTGAGGATCTTTCGTTCTGTTGTCCGTAGCGGTTGAATCAGTTTACGTTCCTGCCAAGAGTGCAGGTCCCCCCCCCCCCCCCCCCCCCCCCCCCCCCACGTCTGACAGGTGTGAGCTGATGCGTCTTTGTGGTTTTGGTTCACGTTTCCCTGATGGTTAGTGATATTCAGGATCTTCTCACGTGCCTGTTGGCCATTGTGACATCCTCTTTGGACAAATGTCTGTTTAGTTCTTTGCCCGTTTTTAAATCCGATTTTTTCTTTAATTAAGTCGTATTTGTTATCTATTTCGGATGTTAACGTCTTATCCAGTGTGTGGTTTGCAAATTTTTTCTCCCATTTTGTAGGCTGCCTTTTCATTTTGTTCCTTGTTTCCCTTGCTGTGCAGAAGCTTTTGGGTTTGATGGAGTTCCATTTGCTGATTTTTGCTTCTGCTGTTTGTGCTGTAGGTGTCGTGTCCAAAAGGTCATTGCCAAGATGGGTATTAATGAGCTTTTTCCAGTGCTTTCTTCTAGTTTTATGGTATCAGGTCTTATTTTTAAGACTTTGATCCATTCTGAGTTACTTTTTGTGTGTGTTGTGAACTAGGGTCCCAATTTCATCATCCTGCGTGTGTTTCTCCAGTGTTCCAGGCGCCATTTGTCGGGAAGACCAGCCTTTCCTTATTGGGTGTTCGTGGCTCCCTTGTTGAATATTAGTTGACCACAGAAACAGATGAAAGTTAAAATAAATGCTGAGAGTACATAGTGGGCAATTCCAGAGTTTAGTGGTTTAGTTTAAATTTGGCCGAGATGCACTTGGCTTTGTCTACATGCCGGGTTCTTAGGCTTGGCACTGTTTCCATAGGAGCTGGGTAATTCTTGGTCTTGGGAGCTGTCTTATGCATTGTGGGTTGTTAAGCAGCATCCCTGGCCTCCACCCACTGGATGCCGGCCGTAGCCCCGAGCTGTGACACCCAAAATGTCCCAGACGGCGCTCGGTGTTCCCGGCGGGCAAAGCTGTCCCTCCGTGAGAGTCACTGGTCTACCCTCAGGGGTTCTCCCCCCGAGACACCCACTGTACAGCTTCTTGCCATATGCTCACATGAGACTCCCAAATGCGGGGGCCGGATGGGGAGTCAGAGGGGCTGAGATCCCGTCGGGGCACCTGGTGTCCACGTGGGAACGGAGCCCAGCTCAGCCAGTTTTCGGGTTGCTTTCTGCCGTGGCGAGTTCTAACAGCCGCCGACCTAGATGGCGCATGGCCGAGCCCTGTCCTTATGCGATTCAGCCCCTTTTCCTGAACGCGCTCTGGGACTTTTGCCCCACGAGGCTAACACAGAGCAGGATACGGGGATTCTAATCTGAGTCCGTGGGCTGCACCCGGAAGTGACCTTAGACCCGGGGCTGGTGCACTTTCCATGGAGGGCCAGGGAGTAAACGTGTCGAGGTCTGCAGACTGCTGGTCTCTGCCTTGAGCGGGAAAGTGGCCACAGCCCACGTGGCATGAACGGGTGAGACCGTCTTCCAGGAAGTTCTTTACAGAACCGGGGGCAGGCTGTGCGCGGTGGTTGGTGGTTTCTGAAAAGGTTAGACATCGGATTATCACATGGCCCGAGTCACCCTGTTCCTGGGTGTGTGGGTAGCCCAGAATGCTGAAAGCGAGCGGGTGTTTGTGCACCTGTGCACACAGACACACAGCGTTATTCACGGCAGCCCAAGCGCCCATCAGCGGGCGACGGATACGTAAAACGTGTTCATGCAATGGAGCGTCATACAGCCGTGAAAAGAGGTGAGGTCTTGACATCTGCCACAACGCGGCTGAACCACAATCACATTACGCTGAGGTGCTGAGCGAAGGAAGCCAGGCGCAGAAGGACACATCCTGTGTGATTCCGCTTAGGTCAGGTGCGTGGAGTGGTTCATGGAGACAGGAAGTGGACGAGGGGTGGGCGGGGCCAGGAGGAAGGGGTTCCTGCGGAAAGCTACAGGGTGTCTGCTGGGACGACGGTCGAGGCTTGGGTGTCGGGCGTGTGTGCACGTGACGCCTGTGAACTGTACCCTTGGGAATGGTGAAAATATGACTTATGTGTCTTTACCACGACTGAAAACGTGGTTGGAATAAAGGGGGCTCTCGGGCCACAGCCTGGAGACCTGGCTTCACCGGCTGATGCCCCACAAGCACCAGTGTGGGGCCCGAAGGAGGGCCCACGGGCCGGCTGCGTGTTGAACTAGATGAGTTGGGTTCTTTGGACGGATACTTTGTTGCGCCTTCAGTCACATGGCATCGTGTGTCCCCTCAGCCCAGGAGGAGGGGTGGCAGCATCGGCCGCCCTGGCTCGGTGGCCCCGTGGTGCTGATTGCGCGTTCCCAGATGCTAATCGGGATGTCCGTCCTCCTCGCATACGGTGACCCACGATGCACAGAAGCGTTTGAGTGGCCGTCGGGCCCATGGCCCCGGGACGTCCCGAGTGTGGTTCTGCGGCATCGCGGAGAGCCCCGTGCGCCCGGGTCACCCGCTCGGCCCGCGGACCTGGCGCCGTGTATCGGGGCCTGGGCGAGCGCCTCTCACGTCTCACGTCTGCCAACTTTTCCAGGGAGCGCGTGGAGCTTCTGGAAGAAGCCAAGAAGATGGAGATGGCTAAGTTCCGCTACATCCTGCCCGTGTACGGCATATGCCGGGAGCCCGCCGGCCTGGTCATGGAGTACATGGAGACCGGCTCGCTGGAGAAGCTGCTGGCCTCCGAGCCGTTGCCGTGGGACCTGCGCTTCCGTATCGTCCACGAGACGGCCGTGGGCATGAACTTCCTGCACTGCATGTCCCCGCCTCTCCTCCACCTGGACCTCAAGCCCGCAAACATCTTGCTGGACGCCCACTACCACGTCAAGGTAGGACCCGCCCGGCTCCGCGTGCGGGGCCCAGGCGGCCAGAGGGGCGGGGGAAGGCTCTGAGTGGGGCGGGGGGAGGACATAAGGACTCGGCAACCCCAGTCTCCACGAAACGTGTAGCTGGAAAATGGACCCTTACGCACACGGTTACCCCCCCACCCCCGCGGATCCTGGAGCATGGGCCTAAATTCTGAGCACTCTGGAAGAAAAGAGCTTGTGGGTTTGTGGCTTCCGGTCTCACTGGACGTCTCGTGAAGGCCGGTTAGGGATCCAACCGGGGGGGGGAGACCGCTGCACCCCCCATCTGTGGTCTCAGGGATGGCGGGGGGGGAGGGGGGCGTGGGGCGCTCCCTGGAACGAGGCTCCGGAGGGGCTCGTTCTCTTCTCGTCGTGTGAGGCCCCTGAGGTCTGCTATCATGATTACTCTTTTTGGGTAAGTTTATAAAACACAGAGAAGTACGAGGGACGGTGGAACTAAATACCAGGTACCAGCCACCTGGGCCTGCAGTTAGTAACGCTGTCCAGTTTGTGTTTCTTTGCCTCTCCTCTGTCCTGGGCTCTGTCGTTGCCACCAGGGGGGACGCAGGTCACAGGCCTTCCCTGCGTGGCTCAGGAGGCCCGGGGTCGCGTGCTGGCCCACAGAATGCACTTGCCGCCTCCCTTCCCTGTGCCTGGCTTGTGAGCGAGTGAGAGGGACCCGCGAGCGGTGGCCTGAACCCTTTCCTGGGCCCTGCGGGGACCGGGAAGGGACTCCCCTGTACACTCTCCTGGCTGGTCACAGGGAGCTTGCAGGAGCCCCTCCCTTGCTGGTCCGAGGGGTAGGAGGGACCTGGGTTCAGTCCAGCCATGCCCGTGGGCCCTGCCGGGAAGGAGAGGTGGGACCAGGGGGCACAGGCACCCCACCTTTGCGGCGCACCTGGCCAGCCTGAGGCCGATGGGGAGACTCATGTCCACGTTGGACAGTGACTGCAGACTGTCCCTTGATTAGGAGTCACTCCAAAATGAGATTGTCGCCGCCAGATGGACGAGCTCTCCTGGTTCGAATGGGTGCCACGGGGGTTCTGTCTTTGCCAGAGCCAAGTTTCTTTCCGGCTGGCGCACTGGCTTCCGGTGTAGAGCCTCTGCCCCCACTGACATTCCAGGGTTTATCAAGGAGGGAGCTCCTGTGGGCACCAAGCGAAGGATGAAGCCCTTTTTTTTCTTTTCTTTTCTTTTTAAAATTTATTTATTTTGAGAGAGAGTGCAAGTGGGGGAGGGGCAGAGACGGAGGGAGAGAAAATCCCAAGCAGGCTCCCCGCACCTGCCAGCACAGAGCCTGACGTGGGGCTCGAACCCACGAACCGTGAGA